CATTTTATGACCATGACCGCTAATCTGGTTTCCGAAGGCAAATTAAAACGAGACTCTGTTCAAGAAATCGACAATATACATTATACATCCATTTCAAGGACGCCTTCTTATTGGTTAAATTTGTCACCCACGCGGTTTTTTGACTTTAGAACAATTAAATTGCATCAAGCGTGTACATACATGATTGCAGTAGAATCATTCTGTAGTAGTAGTATTACTATCTCCTCTGAACTAAGTTAGATTATTTATAGTGTGGTCAGAGCATCCGCTTTCCATGCGTGAGACCAACACCAGCGCTCCACAGACCGTCGAAGGCCAGGTATTATTTTCTGTCTCCGTTATTTGAACACCTACTCGCAAAAAAGTATGTAGGTCTATCTAAGTATGTACTAAATCGATTGATGACTATCAGATAAGCAAAAAGCAAGGTCATTAATCGAGCACCCTGAATAATTTTGAATATGTTTAAAATGTATCTCCAAAGGAACAATGCAGGATAATCCTGAACAGTTCTTGAAAAAGTCTATCTCTCGGAGCAATTCTTCACCCATGCCAGTTTGAGCCTCATGTTTCCACATTCACCCATATATTTGTCAGCTATGGTATTTGCATTCGGCAACATAGTATTCCAACTACACGGATCTTGAACTATAACAGTGTCATCTTAACTAGTAGCGCCTTAACTGCTACTTTTTTCTGAGTCCAGTTAAAAAAATAAGGTAAAATACAGGATGACTGCTAGCTCTGCTATAAAAATTCCAAGTTCATATTGATTCTCCACTTCTACTTACACCCACATCATTTTTTCTTTGGCGCACTTCCCTATGGAGTGTCAATAAATTCACGATTGTCACTTGTTCCAGTGTTTCCCTTGCCTTGAGTCGGCATTATATCATCTCGGAGAGAGGGTAAAGAGGGCCAATACATCTCTGCCAAGATTATACTCGAAAATGTCTTTAAATGTCTGCTCGCATAAGAGGTATTGCTTCCATATACACCTACTCGTTCGCACACAAAATATAACATTGAGCAAATTATAGATATAATTCTTTCGAGGGTGTGGTAGATATAAAGAAGGGTGAAAGTTGCGTAGTGCTAATGGAGTTGTGGAAAATGGGCTACAAGAAATAAATTGGTCTTCCTTCAGCTGCGCTGAGAATTGCGATATAGGTACCTGATACAAAAATAATAGTTTGTGAAACTTGGTGTAGTAAATTGTGATCCCATAGTAAACACCTCAATTCTTCAAAGGGTGTGGTAGATATAAAGAAGGGTGAAAGTTGCGTAGTGCTAATGGAGTTGTGAAGAATGGGCTACGAGGAATAAATTGGTCTTCCTTCAACTGCGCTGAGGAATGCGATATATGTACCTGATGCGAAAAGTATAGTTCGTGAAACCTGGTGTAGTAAATTGTAATCCCATAATGAAACAACTTAAGTCATTTATGATTAACTTTGTTCAGTTCAATATTTGCTGCTAGGTACTGAAGGTAGTTGTGGACCTATACCAGACTGATGAGTGGCTATTAAGCACAAAACAGCACTGCCTGCCGTTGGCCAGAATTGCAGAACAAATGTCAACAACAACAAAAGACTCGAGCTGCGGTCGCTGCATACTAGTCAAATAATCTATGATATACATTTTATTTCTTGTTTTTATACGATTCTGGTCACGAAATACAGATCGAATTAAATGTCACATTGTGATCCACAGGATATTTCTGGGAATCAAGCCGACAATAAATCTGGATCATTTTTTGTGACCGTCTAATCCTCAACATCGATCGCTGACGACCGCTGCTACCCGTCTTTAAGAATCGAGTAATAGTCTGCTATTAGGACGAGAAAATTAGATAAAAATAATGCTACTAATCAAGGAGCTATTGAAGGCAAATGAAAAATCCGTAAACGAACCGATAAACTGTGGAGTCACAGCTACTATATAAAAGGTTTCCCCAGTCAGGCTTGTCTAAAGTCATGTAGAGGCATCTGGAATATGATTCGTACAAAATCAAATAGGTACATAACATAGGTGGAGCTGACACAGTAGCTGAGCACGTACAGTACTTCGCCTGTCCACTACTACTCCTACTACTAAGGCCGCCGGGCATATAGCATCTAGGGCCCTCAGATGACGGGACCTCAAGGCTAGAAATCTGGGGACCTACTTTGCTGTTGAGAATAAGTGAATCAATGGAGGGACATCTAGTTTGATTTTTGTGCATTTGGGGCCCCCAAAAAGTCTTGCGTCCATAGCGTAGAGACAGAATAGCTCCCAGTGTAAGTTCTCGGTAGAGCCGGATTTTGCAAGAATATTTTATACCAAATTCAATGCTACAGTATATTTCTGGTGTTACTTAAGCCATCGCCACTCTGATATCGAGACACTGTTTTATATCAACGAGGGTATTCATATTTATATGTTTTCTTACAGGAAATCGTATACATACTCTCATTGCTCAAAGCAATTGCTTGATTGGAGTAAGTATAGCGTTCAGTTTCTAAGTTGTAGATTTTTCAAATAGGCTATAAAATTGTACAATGTGGAGCATACCCTTGAATTTGTTTGTCCCTTTAATAAAATCTGCGTTCTTCTCCATTAGAAAAATGTGTGGCTAGACTTCTAACTGACGCCCGGGGTGTCGCTCTTCGAGCTTTAGTAGACTTGAAATACATATGGGTTCTTAAAGGTTCGCATTCACATTTTTACTTTATTCTTGGAAGAACATTTCTCTTAATTGTCTCTTGCATCAGTGTCCTGGCCTATAACAGGACGTTGGACCGATTCGGTGATATTATGGGAAGGGATGAAAGCACCATAGGAAAGGACACCTGGGCACTTTTATCTTCTAGTAATCGCCGTCCTTCACGCCGGTTGATGCTTTTGTCGATGACCAATAGGGGATTATTCACAAAAAACTCTATTGACGACAAATCCTTTCATTCTTTTCTTCATTTATAACAGCTTTTTCGGGAACATGAGTATGAAATCAGGTACGAGTTCTAGAAGTCAACAAGAAACACAATATATGTTACTGCGACGACTCAATTTCCAAACACGATAACGAATATCCATTGACGTAAGAGGAAATTTAGATTAATCTTAAAACTTCTAATCTTCATCGAGCTTCTGATCTCAAGTCCCGCATAAGTACGTGAAAGCTCGGAATCTGTAAGGATTTGACAAAATATTCATTAAACTTAATTTCTTCAAATATTCGCCATTGTTCTTTATCGTAGAATCGTAAGAGGCAAGCGGATATGTACTGGCTCAGGAATATAAGGTGTTTAATTAGACCCAAGATTTGTCCTGACTGATTTTTCAATTACTACTTAGTAATTATTGTCGCCCATTCATAAAAATGTACTCCTTTCACCTAAAGGCGATAAAAGCCTCCTAACTATGAAATATTTCCAACTATTCTTGTTGCTTGCTTCGAGTTCTCAACTCATGTAATATCGTATTACACGCGATAAGCTGCCCCTAGTGCCAATGCACAGTTAGAGAGTTTCCTGTCTATAGTTGATCTATAGTTGCGCCTTCTCAGGTTTCGTCTTATTGATTTTCTTTATTCCTTTGTGTCATAGAAAATAGACTATCGCAATCTCTTCTAATTCCATTATGAAACGACAAAAAGGAGGATATCATATCGTCACTGTTAACCAACAAGCAGCATTTAGCTTGTTACTCTACGGTAGTGGCATCCAACGTCGAACGCGAGCTTAGCTCGCAAAGGCAATTCTGGTGGCTCACAACATATTTAAAAAAGGTGTAAAAATCTTAGAAGCTTCCATAAATTTTGTAGATTCTCATAATAAACACAAGCAGCGGCAACACTGCCGTCAGCGATCTGTTCGAGAACGATCTGGGTTACTTTGAACGGAATACATTCGGAAGGCGCGGCTTATAGTACGCTCAGTTTGAAACTGAACGGCACAAAGTCCAGCGGTTGGGTTGAGTTGGCCTGCAATTAAAAACATTATGAGCAGTAGTAAAAAGATGAAGACCATTTCCATTCAGAATGGGAACAACAATATTTCTTTACAGAAATTAAAGGTAAAGTATATGTTTGTTATGTAATACATCTATTTCCGTTTCCAAAAAATCATTTCCATTACGTTCTGCAACCAGAACGGAAAACTGGAACAATTAAAGTATCAGTTAATTGGACAATAGACAATGTTTTTATAAACAATCGACAAAAGTAACGCTGCAACTGAAGCATCATACCGGGTGTGCCAGATAATTACACAAAAGATGATGATGCAGACGGGGAAATTATAAAACAAGCGTTTTTAGAAACTACAGATTCATTATTTGCCAACTTTAGAAATAAAGACGAGATAGTGTCTGCTATAACATCTACGCAACTTCCTCCTAATACAGTGATGCGACAAGTAGAAGCAATGAGCAATGATACAGTTTTACAGTTATGAAATGACTTCGATAACTGGGTTTATTTTTCACTGCAGCTAGATGAATCCACAGATGTCGTTGACACCTCTCAGATTGCCGTGTTCGTCAGGATGGTTTTTAGTGTTTTACGATTAAAGAACATCTTTTGAAGTTTATTCCACTAAAAGGACAGACTACTGGGCAGGACTTGTTTTCTTTTTTTAAAAATATTTCTTCTGAAAAAAACCCAATATCGAAAATGGTAGGCCTGACAACCGCTGGCGCTCCAACTATGGTGGGTCAAGATAAGTGAATCGTGGGGTTATGTCGTAAAGATGTATCTTTTCCACAATTTCTCTGTTACCACTGCATTATCAATCAGCAAGCATTACGTGGACATTTTCCAAAACTAAACAACGTTTTGAAATTGGTAGTAAAAATTGTGAATAAGATTAGAGCTCAAGCTCTGGCTTAGAGATTTTGGTCTTCTCTCTCTTACAGACAAAATTTATGAACTTAATTTGCAGCTTCAGGGAAGAGACAAAGAACTCGCAGAAATTATTTCTATATCAGCGTTATAAAAAAACTTGAGTTTTGGGAACAAAACTTAACCGATGGCGATACCACGTACTTTCAACTTCGTTCAGAAAAGATATCTCAACGTCCATTAGAACCATATGACAGTAAATATCATGTAGAAATAGTCTCTAGCTTGAAGGATAACTTCAAAAATCGTTTCAAGGATTTCAACGAAATTGCTATGGTGGCGAAATTTGTTGTTTCACCTTTCATATAAATTGATATCCAACAGTTTGCAACTTCTGTTATGCAGAATTTTAGCGAAGAGATCGCTGCAACAGAAATGGACGTAATTGTGTTGCAAAATGGTTTAGCTTTGAAATCTTTAGTCTCAAATACGACATGTATCTGGCCTTCACTAACTAAAGATAAATATTCAGTTTTATGTCGTATTGCCTAGAAAGTGAAAGCGTTATTTAGTTCAACCTATTTGTGTGAATCTTCTTTTTCAAATACGAAATTTATTGAAAACAAATACCGTAATCGACTTACAGATGAACATTTGGAAAATTGTATTCGAATAGCGATATCAAATTATACTCTCAACATTAAAGAAATTGTCAGTGAGTCTGAGTGTCAGGCTTCTCATTCTACAAACATTTTTTTTTCTGGACATGTTTTTGTTTAAGATAGTGCGTATACATGGTGTAAACGTTATGGTAGTCATTATTGAAATGGGTAAGAGGGGGGGTCAAAACAAGTCAAAAAGTTCATGGTCCAAAAGTCAATAGATTTTTGTCTAAATGGCTTTATAGTTTACTATTTTAAGAGCCAATTTCCCAACATTAATATTATGGACCAATGGGAAAATACCTTATCGAAATGCAATTTGACGAAAGCTGTCAAAGGTCTCTGAATATTAGTGATTTATATTGAAATATTGAATAAAATCGTGAAAATTCGACTGTATTATAAACAAGACCACTTTTTGATTCCAACATGATGCTTTTGTACAGAAAAAACAGGACAACTTTCATGTATTTTGATATATGTTATAGGTTTACATTTAACAATCCGTTATCCCCCTCAGCGAATGGGAATGCGGCAAATAATAGGTCGATTTATAATAATATAAAATAAATTCCATCCAATTCCTCATCTTCCTTTACGTCATAATAGCATTTATTAATTTATGGGATAACGAATTTCTTCAAAGCAATAAAAACATCATGTCCTCTCCATCCTAAAACACAGATAACATGTGTAAGACGTGTCAATCCCTAGATCTCCCTGATGCATAATGCAATTACTATGGACATAGAAAAAAAAATTATGAAAAATGTTTCACAGATAATGGATTTTAAGTTCAAAAATCAAAAAAACTAGTAATGTTTACTGTTTGTCTATTTTTTTTTGACTGGCGGGGATACCTATCTGACACTCGCAGGGTTGCCAAGTCTAACGACGAACACGTCCCGTGGTGGAGGGTGCGAAATGAATCTTTTACATTTGCTGGTTTTGAATTTTTTTCGTGAAAATTTATAATAAAATTATAAGCATCTTTGGTAGATTGTTCGATCCGGAATGGGAAAGATCTCTTATTTATGAAAATATTTTTGGTATCATCTAACCGTTGCAATCAGTGCACAGACACTGTGACATATGATTTATAGCATAACCCGCTGCCATATCAATACAAATTTAACATACAGGTCGCCTAGCCGTGGGGATGCAGTGGTGGGGATGAATATCACGGCAGCAACTGATGATTTGGGCATGTCTGGTAAGAACGTATGAAGTGAAACTAGCTAACTTCACAAATTTGAAGATTTTGTTCAATTTCTTTGAAAATGATGAAAGATATGTCTGATTTGGCAGGGTAATGTCGCAGCCAAATACCAGTCACTCTTTGTGACACAGTCCGGATCGAAAGATAACGATACTCGTGAAATTTATTGATACTTCTAAATATAGGATCCTATCGAACATCCCTACTGTCAAGATGTATAACCCAAGGTACCGACGGAGCTATTTTGCGGCGTCATGGAAATAATTTTAAATTTTCAGTTGCATTTTTTCAAGTGTTGTGCAATGATTTTGGGAAAAATGTCACGAGTAGTCTTATAAAGCATAGTAGAGTATATTTCAACAGGTGGCGGAACCTACTCCACTGGGACCAGGAGGGTGAAACGGGATATTAATGCACAATCTGACAACCCTGTCGCACCCTCACAAAATGGCCGCTGACAACCACACAAGTCACCGTGTTGTGATTGAATAGCATGGAATTAAACCTTCAGAGTATGTTTTGTGACTGGTACCAAGAGTTGACAGAGCCCACAAATGTGTCACTCCTTGAAAAGCAATAATGAGCTGTATTCAAATAACGCCTAATATAAATATAACCCAGAATATCTACTCAGTGAAAAAAGGAAAATATTGCAAATTTCTAGTATTTCTGCAGGTTTTAGGTTTGCTGGTAGCTCTGCGACATATATTTGGGTATTTCTTAATCGCTGTGAATATAGTGTGGATGTTTGTTAAGTTCCTGAACAACGAAAGATATTCAACTTTATGGATGTATGGATATTAAAAAACCAGAATGGTTTTGTGGGAATATCAATCTAAGGTGCCATAGTGGTTCTGATGAACGGCAAGTAAATGAATGAATGTTTGGAAACGAGCAATATCTATGAACTTTTTGGTAGAGCCAGTCATCAAGTAGGTGCTTAATAGCTATCTGCAACAGGTTTATAGGAAAAAAACACCCAGTAGATGATCTTGAATCAGTAAAATCGCATATCGATTGAAGAAAATAATATTATCATGAATAAAAAATCAACAATGGTAATTAAAACATGAATTTTATTCAAAAATTAAACAAGTGTTTAAATTTTGACTGAATTATATGTAATTTCTTAATATTCAATAAGCTATTCGTTGCTAAAATTTGTTGATTGGAACTTGAAGTTCATTCGCTGTATTTAACGGGCTGTTACCCTATAGGTGGAGAATAACGGACTGTTGTTGGTGACATTGGCCCTAAGTGTTTTATATCGACCACAATCAGCACAATCTTACTCATTTTTATAATCTAATCTAAAACGTTTTTAAGTTGGGTAATTAACAAATGAATGGCATTAAGTTTTTCTGAGTTACGCCCAAATTTGTAGTCAGTAAGAAAGTAAGTTTCATTAAATTGATTATTTAAAACACACTTGACAACAGCGCGTCGGTCATCATCACTCTTATTGAACCGGCAATTCATCGCAAACAGTAACAGTGGTTAGTTATCCTTTTGCATAGTTTTGCGGCGTTGTCAGATTTATTTTACTTTAAATTCGCTTTTCTCTAAGAAAATGCCGTTTTGACTCCCATGTTAAATGAAACTTTTTGCTTCTTTTAACCCCCTCTATCACCCATTTAAATAATGACTATCATAACGTTTACACCCTGTATTTGGTTACCGTTATTAAATCGTATGTGACTTGCCATTGTCACTGAGGAAAAAAATTGTTTATTTTTCAAACACTGACGATTGGTAGGAATGGATGAGTTATGTAATATGCATCATAGTTTATTTGTGTATTAGTATGTATTAGTATTAGTAAAATAAACACATGTACTATATGTCGCATACAACTGTGTGTAATTTCATTTAAGTTGGCTTACATTGCTTACGACTAGGTATGCTCGCTGTGTATTCCAAAATTATCAAAGTAGCTCAGCACATTGAAAAGATTGGCGACCACTGCTCTATGGCTACTCTATCTGGCGATTTTCGATTCCAGAAGTAGTGATGGCTGCATCATTGGTGACGTTGCCGATCAGGAACGATTTCTTATTCAAAATTCCCACTCCCGATAATGGTAAGAAAACTCCAGAAATGCACTTAACTGATCATTTGCAAAAGCTCCTTATGGGTGAAATATTTTCTATCCCTCAATTTACCGATTGACTGTATCATCACTCTAATCATACTCATCGATCCTAACCCACTTTCGATTCCGAACCGCGCACAAAGTTCCGCCAAGTAAAAAGCGAACCCTTTGATAAAGTTCGAGACCTCGAAGTGGACCCATTCGTATTATAGCGAGGGCGGTACACCTGCACAGCCATCAATAAGAGATCACGACCGATGTTTTGGATTTCTATTGAGAAGTTTGATTTGAATACGCGGAAGATAAGGCGCTGGAATAATGCCTTCGTATAGATTGGAGATAAATGGGATTGGGAATGAACTGCTACCGGTTTTTTCTTTAACAGACGGTGATTTGTTTATGAAAAGAATCTTGGTGAGGGACGACCGCAACGGACTGTCAATCGGAGACTTGGCCCTTGTTATAATTGAGAAAATACGGGGCGTGATCAAGAGAACTGGGCACGCAGCAGCCACAAAATCTAATGTTCCAAAGACATTAATGAATATCAAGAAAGATCATCCGTATATAAAGTCATTGACTACTTAGGAGCCTTGAAGAACGAATTTTGTAGACACTGACGAATAAAAGATTTTAAGTACATTTTTGAAATAACTGACACATTTTTAATGGACCCACTGACACTGTTGACAATAGTTTTTTATTGTTCCAGCAACTGGGATGGATCTCTCAAATACCTATACATGAACATAGATTAAAAGAAAATGAGCTACTGGTAAGAATAACGTACCTTTTTTAATTGAACAGGGTGGAAAATTATACAGGGTGTCCCAAAAAAAGTGTGCCATATTCTCCCAGCAGTTTCTAGGGCTTAAAATAGGAGGAAAAGTTTATATAAACATAGGTCGACAAACATCCCCTAAGGGCGCTACGGTCTTTTAAAGGGGCTCCCCTGAAGATGGTTTTTCCTTAATATTTCCAAAACGTGTTAGGATAAAGACATAAAATTTGGTATTCTAACCTAGTTTTTTATGCTGGATTTAAAAATATTAACAATTTGGACAGTTTTGTTTGGAAACGTATGTAAGAGGGACGGACTCAGGTTATTATAGCCCCAAAATTTTTGTGTGATTCTATTTTTGAAATTCAATTTTAGAATTTAAAAATTTAGAGTTTTCTACATAAAAAAGGTACCCTCATTGAATATCGATAAATTGTGCCATTTTGAATAAAATCAAACTAAAGAATTTGTCACATGATAGGAAATGTACTGCGAATTTGAATGAATTGTTGATTATATATATATAGCTGTTTTGATTTGTTATGACTTAGTTTGCAGTTGTTAGCAGTGCAAAATTATTAGATTAAGTTCAAATTTTTTATTAAATCGATTTAAAATGCCAAGATTTACAGGCAGAGGACTGACTGGCATGCATTTTGTGTACGAGTTTTGCAATGACAGTTCATTGGCAGCCGTAAGAGAATATCAAAGAAGATTTCCCAATCGCATAGTACCTTGACTTCAAATGTTTACTGATATTCACCGGAATTTGTCAATTCATGGAAGTTTTCAGCGCATGCAGGGCTCAGGATGGCCACTGGGAAATCATCGTATGGATATTGCTTTAAATATGTTTGAAAATAATCCGCAAATAAGCATACGAGATGTTTCAGAAATTATGAATATACCTCGATCAATAGTAAGAAAAATGTATGAATACCTATTTGATAGTTATCCTAAAAATAATAATTTTAGATAGAAAGAATGACAAGAATGCAAAGATTACATCCTTATCATTTTAAACCTGTGCAGCATGTAACGGAGGCAGATTTTTTACTACGAATCGAGTTCTGCCAGTGGATAT